AAATTACTATATACATGGGACAAGTTTTACACCTATCAATGAATTATGTAATTAATACACTAATAATTATGAAAATATCATTATTTTTAGTCTCATTTTTCTCTTATTTTATAACCCTAATCAATCTAGATCGATGGACAAATAGAATTATTCCACATTTTTTATAAGAATCATTATTTTCATCTGATAATAATTCATGGCAATAATATATTTCACTTTATTTACAATAAATGTAAATAGTTATATAGTAGACCTAACATCTAAATTCTTTATTTAAATAAAATTAATATTTAAATTATTTATTGAGTATGAAATTTCAAGCATGCATATAATTATATATGTTGTTTGGTTTGTGGATGAGGGCTAGGAATAATAATTCTACTCACACTAAGAAGGAATTTTGTTGAAATTAGAGAAGAAAGTAATTGTAATTCTGTAGAAAAAGAATAAGATGAGAATAATTGAATAAATTAAGAATTCAAATTACATTGTTTGGTACGTAGGAATAGATTATTGGGAATGAAAAGGGAAGATTAAAATGCCCTTGTGTAATAATAATAATAATAATAATAATAATAATAATAATAATAATAATAATAATAATAATAATAATAATAATAACAACAACAACAACAACAACAACAATAATAATAACAATAATAACAATAATAATAATAATAATAATAATAATACTAATAATAATAATAACAATAATAACAATAATAATAACAATAATAATAATAATAATAATAATAATAAATCATTTCTAGCTTTTTTTTTTTTTTCTTTCTTTCCTTTCTACGTTGAATTGAAATTCATGGGGGATATGAATTTCAATTTCAGAAAAGAAGTAGAATTACAATTCTCTCCAACCAAACAATGTAATTTTCGATTTCAAAGAATTAGTCTATAGTTGAATTACAACTACAATCTACCAAACAGGCCATAAATGAATTACTAATTATATTCTGATAAAAATATGAAGTAAAAATATCGACATGATTTTTTTTTTTTGAAAGTTATTATCGACATGATTTAAATAATGTGTTAAGTATAAAAAGAATTTTTATTACGGATTGTTTGGTTGGATGTAATTACAATTCAATTACAACACAATTCTTTGGGTATCCAAATGATAGTAATTGGTTGGAGGGAATTGCAATTCTCTCATTTTGTTGAATTGCAATTCATACCCTCCCCCATATGAATTGCAATTCAATGGGGAAAGGAGAGAGAAAAATGAAGAAAAAGACTTTTTTTTACCTATAATGATTATTAGTATTATTATTTCACAAGGATATTATAGTTTTTATACCACTTCTTCCCCCTTCTCATTCACAATAATTCTATTCCTCCATACCAAACAATGTAATTTGAATTTATATTTTGTTCTCACAGTATTCTTTTCACATCAAATTATAAATATTTTTTCTCTTTAATTCATTCCTTCCAACCAAATGCTTTATTAATTACATTAGTGCTAATGTGAAAAAAGAAATTTTATCAGTCGCGTGAGTGTTAACTCGAGGAGTGGGTAGTAAAGTAAGGGCAGGTAATGAATAGTGATGAGAATCAGTGTTCGTAGAAGCTGCCCAAGGTAAGGGTGGAAGGTAACACATAAATGAAAAAGTCAAACTTGATTGCCGCAACAAATTAAGTCAAAAGGGGAATGACGATTAGTACCACTGTACACAATACAAGGCGGCCCCGCTCCTGCTGAAATTCTAAAGATAACTTTACTGTATCCATCCTAAAAGTGCACATTTTAAAAAATATCATATTTTAAAATTTAAAAATAACCAGAATATATTTCTAAATTAAAATAAAATTCTATGATATACACTGTATCAAATTTTTATTTTGGAGTTTCCACATTTGTCCTAAATTCATGAAAAATAGAGCGGTAATTGAGTGAAGGTGCATCTATTATTGCACACGTGTGTCTTTGCCTAGTTATATATATAAAGAAAAAATAAATAAATAAATAAATAAATATATATATATATATATATATATATATATATATATATTATTGAAAAAAAATAAATATTTATTTCTAATTAATTTATTTAGTTTATGATGGGGCGTTTGATACTTTTACATCAATTACATTACTGAGAAAATATTTATATTTGATAAGAATAACCTTGTAGAAAAAAAATTAATTAATATTTTTGGTGTTACTATAAACACATAAGAATTAAATTATCTAGAAAATTAATTTATGGTAAAATTTTACTTTTGTCCCTCGACTAATGTACATGTATCAATTTTGATCTTTGAGTATATATTAATATTTTCAAATTAGGTGCATGATTATGTAATTTGTATCACATTTGGTCTTGTTGTCCAATTTTCCAGCTAACTATTCCTGGAATTTCAACGAGAAAAATAAATTTTTCGGGAATAGTTGACTGAAAATACCCTTTTAATTAGAACATATTATTTTCCTCATTGAAATTCTGGCAATAGTTGGCCAGAAACTTGACCGAAAAATTGGATGGCAAGATTAAATGTGCTACAAATTACAGTCATGCACCTAATTTGAAACTATTAATAGTCAAATACCAAATGTAATATAAATTACATAATCATGCACCTAATTTCAAAATATAAATAGTTAATGATCAAATTTGATACATGTACACTAGTCAAGTGACTAAAATTGATATTTTTTTTTCTTAATTTATACTAGTGAAATTATATATATACTTACAATAGTGAATTTTATGAACAAAACGTCTATATCTAAACTAATGACTTTATGTATCTATAGATTTATTTTTAAAAATTAAAAAAAATATATCAATATGAGTGTTATTTAAAATGTCACAATTAAAGTTTTTTAATAATATATTTTTATACATTAATTTTATTTGTAAAAAAAAAAAAAAGGAAATAATTTTTTTTATCAGGGTCGACATTACAAGATTGATCTAAATAGAGTCCATATATAACTACTACATCCAGAGGGTGATTAAATATCAGCAAGCCAAGGTTTGGAGAGCCAAAATTAGTAGCCATCTAGTCTATTTAAGACCTCAAGTATTGGTTCTTTATGAATATATTGAATCTCACTAGCTCACCCCTTTGAACATAGCTTTCAATAACGGTAATGACAGTACCTTTTTTCAAAGTCATTTAATTAAAATTTGGCCTTGCCCCATAAGACATGGTTAAATGGTTGGTCCCTCTCTAATGTAGTAGGATAAGATTGATTCAATAAGAATAAATTTAATGCTTTGTAGATGTGACTACGGACCAGTTCAAGGTCGAACTAATCTTGAATCGTCCCATAAGAAAGCAGGTATCAATCGTTATATCCTACACCACGGCGCACATAGCACTGTGCGCCGCGCGCCTCCCAAAACGACGTCGTTTTGGGGTCGTGTTGGGAGGCGCGGTAGGAAGTTGCTGAGATTATGTGTATTCGTTCACAACGTTATGTGTATTCGTTCACAACGTTATGTGTATTGGTTCATACAGTTATGTGTATTTTTTATACAATTATGTATATTGTTTTTATACAATTATGTACATCCGAATCAGAAAATTTATGTGTATTATGTTAAGAGTTTATGTGTATTATGTTAAAAGTTTATGTTTATTATGTATTATGTTAGATTATGTGTATTATCTTTTAAAAAGAGTATGTATATTTTGTTATAACATTATGTGTATTCATGTATAACATTATGTGTATTCAAGTATAACATTATGTACATTCTTGAACAGCGGGTTTTTTTTTTAAAGAAAAGCCTACTGCCATTCACTGGGGCTGGAAATTTCAAAAAAAAAATAATTAAAACGACGTCGTTTTGCATCTGGGCGCATAGTGCAATGTACGCCGTGGTGTAGGATATAAATTGCCAGCAGGTATAGGTCGGGCTTAGGGTCAGTTCAAGTCCTATAAAAAAATAACTTGGAGCCCAGCTCGAAACTGGTCCAGGCCCAAGCTCAAGTCTAGGTCCAGGTAAAATCTAGCATGGACTTTATAAATTATAATACACTTTATAATATTTATAAGTTATCAAATAATATTACAAGTCTTATAAAAAAAAATTAATAGTACAAGTTCAAATGTTATTAAAGTCTTATAAATTTTTAATTTTATATAAAATTAAATTAATTTTTTATTTTAAAATTAATGGTTAAAATATTATTTTAAACAAAAATATTAACTTTAAAAAAGTGCTCGTGAGCATATATAGTTTAATTTAACATTATTATATCAAAAAGTTGAAGTAGTTTAAGTGGTAAGAACATTCGTTTTTAATCAGGAGGCCAATTGTTTAAATTTTATTTAAAAAAATAATTTATAAATATTTTATATAAAAATAAATACAAAATTATAGGCCTAGCCCGGGACCAGCCCATAAGATGTTCTGGCCCGGGACCGGCTTAGGTTATCGCCCGTTATCCTAGGCCGATCCTGATCAGTACTAATCTAGACCTAGGCCTTTCCCAAACCCGAGAATTAGACACCTCTAATGCTTCGCTTTGAGTAATTATAACTCGTCACATAATAATGTGACAAAATAAAAATTTATCCCTACAACATAATTTCACAAATATTCTCAAATAAATATTTTTACTTTTAAAACATTATCAAATAAAGGTTAGTTTTTAATTTTTCAATTTTTCCAAATTATATGACCATGGGAATTGGGATAACAATAAATTAAACTTTATGGTCAACACGGGCAAGCATCATAGTAAAGAATTCCAAATAAACGTAGCAAAATTGCAAAATACTAACATGTCTACATGTGTTAGCCAAATGGGCCGTTGACCCGGCAGCTAGCCTACAACGTAACACTGAAGGATAGGATATTAGGATCCAGTATCGACGATTCCCATGTTGCCACCTCGGACGAGACCCATGATTCCTGGCCAAGGCGACCACGTGGCAAAATCAGAACGGTGGTAATTTAGGATATAAAACGAATATTCTTGAGCTAGATGCTCCATCATTGTTTTAAATACTGAGCCACTCCCCCCTCACCTCTTCAATCTTCATTACTCAATCACTTCTCTCTCTCTCTCAAAATTAATGCATTACTTAAACGTTAATATCTTCTGCATAACGTTATCAGCTTCTGCGGTGTGTTCCCGTCGGCTCTCAGAACACTAAAACTCCGACCAACTCGATCAGCTTTCAAAGGTTAGAAACGAAACTACCTTAATCTCCTCGATCTCCTTGTTTTCCCTTTTCCCAGAATGCTTTGTTGGGTGTTCTTGTACGGAAATAATTGGTAGGGCCATAAGATCAGCGCTCACAAAACTACAATCCACATACTCATACGCATACGATATCGTTCAACATAAACATATACTTCAATTTGTTATCAGAATTAACTCCATGCAAATTTACGTGTTGCTAAGAGCCCATTAGAAAAAAACCAATCCTGTGAGTGTTATAGCATATTTACTCCTGTATCAAAAAGGTATTTTGCACGGGATAACCCTTTTCAAGATGGCTAATGATACAAACTTATAATCATAAAATTACGAGTTTAAATCTTAACCTTCCCTTATATAATGCCTGTGAATTTTCCTCGTTGCAGATGGAAAACTCCTAGTCATGTTACATCGTATGAACAAAACCCATGATGTTTTTCTCGGACTTTGTGTAAACCACAAGTAGAGACGTTCACATTTTCTTTTTTGGCTGCTGCGACTAACTTGTGTTCTAAATAGTGTTATGCTGTAGTGGTTCACATGCCTCTGTTTTCTTCTAATCTTATCTGTTAGACGTCTCTTTCCTTTCCCGTGTTTATGGAGATTTCTTTCCCTTTCTTTCCCTTATAGACCGTGATAATATAGTCATTATTTTCTTGCTAAATGGTAAAAGAACCGTTCCACTTTCTGTACAATATAATATAGTAATTTTTGTTAGGTAATAATAAAGTACAAGATAATAGAATCGTTCTTTTTTTAAGTATGTGATAATAGAGTTGTATTAATTACTTAATATGGAATAATAGTCATTGTTTTTAAGGTACAGTAATAATAGAGTAATTTTTGTTAGGTAATAATGGAGTGCTTTTTTGGTATGTAATAATGGAATAGTCCATAAATAAACTTTGACACGTTATTGTTAATTGTTCACTGCTTTTTTCCTCTAAAATTTAATGTACTTGTGCATAGAGTCTTAAAGGGTCATTTATAATAACAAAAATAAAATTAAAATAAGTAAACATAAGATTTATTGTCACACTTTTTTCTATGAACACAATTAATTGCCTATTTTACGTATTACTTTTTTTCTCGACCAGCTTTAAAAAAAAAAAAAAAAAGACGTAGAAAGAATCTGATTGAACCTCAGCCTGATTCTCTGACTCTAAAAGCCACAGCTGTCATATTCTTTGTATAAATTTTGACTTTATTATTATTATAAAATATAAACTATTAAAAGCCCATATCACCTTACCCTTTTTTGTTTTGTCACCACAAACCTCTTTGCCTGCCCTACAAAGGTCACCAACTTTGACTATTAAGGTCACCAACTTTTACTCCATTTGGCCAGTCTCCAACCATTTAATGTACTTAGGACGGGAATTAGTATTCTAGTTATCGGCTGGAAGGATATATTTAGATAATTAAAAAAATTATTGAAAAAAATATCAAGAAATTATAACTTATAAGATAAGTAATTATGTGTATATAATTTGAATAGATATTATAATGTAATATCCCTTTCACTTTTTGGTTATAATGTATAAAGAAAATCAACGGTTTCCATAATCTTCTTTATGTGTTACAGTGCAGGAAGTTAATCGGAGATGGCCGGCGATCAACTGCAAGTGCTTAACGCACTCGATTTGGCGAAAACACAATGGTACCATTTCACGGCAATCGTGATTGCCGGAATGGGTTTCTTCACCGACGCATATGATCTCTTCTGCATTTCCCTGGTGACTAAACTGCTCGGCCGGATTTACTACCACGTCGACGGCGCGGCGAAGCCGGGGACACTGCCGCCGAATGTTTCGGCGGCGGTGAACGGCGTCGCGTTCTGCGGGACGCTGGCGGGGCAGCTGTTTTTCGGGTGGCTGGGGGACAAGCTGGGGAGGAAGAAGGTGTACGGGATGACGCTAATGATGATGGTGATTTGCTCGGTGGCTTCCGGGCTCTCGTTCGGGCACACGCCGAAGAGCGTGATGGCGACGCTCTGTTTCTTCCGGTTCTGGCTGGGATTCGGCATCGGCGGCGATTATCCGCTCTCCGCCACCATTATGTCAGAGTACGCCAACAAGAAGACGCGCGGGGCGTTCATCGCCGCCGTGTTCGCGATGCAGGGGTTCGGGATTCTCGCGGGCGGGATGGTGGCGATTATAGTCTCCGCGTCTTTCAAGGCGGCATTCCCCGCCCCGGACTACGCATTCAACGCCATCCGCTCTACCGTCCCGCAGGCCGACTACGTTTGGCGGATAATTCTCATGTTCGGCGCCCTCCCCGCCGCGATGACGTACTACTGGCGAATGAAGATGCCGGAAACCGCGCGTTACACCGCCCTAGTCGCCAAGAACGCGAAACAGGCGGCCTCGGATATGTCTAAGGTTATGGTTATGCAGGTTGAAATCGAAGCCGAACAGGAAAAGCCTCAAGAATCTATCCAAAAAGATTTCGGGCTTTTTACCAAACAGTTTCTCCGCCGCCACGGCCTCCATTTATTGGGAACCACGACCACCTGGTTCTTACTCGACATTGCTTTTTACAGCCAGAATCTCTTCCAGAAAGACATCTTCTCCGCCATTGGATGGATCCCGAAAGCGGAAACCATGAACGCGCTCGAGGAGGTGTATAGAATCGCCAGAGCCCAGACGCTGATCGCCCTTTGCAGCACCGTGCCGGGGTACTGGTTCACGGTGGCGTTAATCGACAAAATGGGGAGATTCGCCATTCAGTTAATGGGTTTCTTCTTCATGACAGTCTTCATGTTCATCTTAGCCATTCCCTACACCCACTGGACACACAAAGACAACCGAATCGGATTCGTAATCATGTACTCCCTCACCTTCTTCTTCGCCAATTTCGGGCCAAACGCCACCACGTTCGTCGTCCCCGCAGAGATTTTCCCGGCGAGGTTGAGGTCCACCTGCCATGGAATCTCGGCGGCGGCGGGGAAAGCCGGCGCCATTATCGGCGCGTTTGGGTTCTTGTACGCTGCGCAATCCTCTGATCCCAAGAAGACTGATGCTGGGTATCCTCCTGGGATTGGTGTCAGAAACTCTCTGATTGTTCTTGGATGCGTCAACTTTTTGGGCATATTGTTCACATTGTTGGTGCCAGAATCTAAGGGGAAATCGCTGGAAGAGATGTCTAAAGAGAATGGGGGAGAAGAAGAGAGTGGAAGTGAGATGAGAGCTCAGGGGCGGACAGTGCCGGTTTAATTACTTAGTCTTATGAAAAAACATATTTACATCGTATTCCTAGTAGTTAGTAACGTTGTATGGCTTTAGTGGCCATGGCAGAACTAAGTCTAATGAAGCATAGGTATGCTGTCATATGATATGATGAGATTTTTTTTTTATTAAATGAAAATAGTAGTATTGCAATACAGTAACTAGTCTTCTATTATATCAATCATATCTAATGTCTGCCTGCGGGCTAGCTAAGTTACTGTTCACCTTAAAATCTTGGATGTAGACAACTTTTTATGGACCTACAAAATAAAAATATCCTATCCATGTTTGCCACATCAGAAAGTATAACTGATGAAGTAGAATTTGGGATCCACATAGTATAACTCCATGCACATATTGACAATAACAATCAATTAAAATATAAATCACATCAAACTCAGTGAGAAACGTATTTCTGGCTTCGGACTAAACCACTATTTGTTGGAATAAAATGCAACTTTTATGGCCTAATCTTTCTTTGGGATCAAATTTCCTCTTTAACAGTGACTGAGAAAAGATTGGAATCTGCTTTTCCCTGTAATTTTCCATCCATCCACAAGGAAATCTACACAATTATGTAACTGGGACTTGTCACTTGTGCACAAAATTTCCAAAGTTAAAGAAAGAAGACTTTTTGTGTGAATTTCCAATTGGTTCTAGATGAAAACAAAAGATACCAACTACATTGAAGAAAGGTGATTGATCCTTTTTTGTAAATCTGTTCTCTCTCTTTCTTTCTTTCACATGCTATTAACTTGGCTCCCACTTTTGTGGAAATTTGTTATATGGCTTATTGTCTCAAGTAGGTATATCACTTTTGTGCTTTCAGAGGTCTAACTGGTTTTTGAGTAATAGATTATAAACAAGAATATAGGATCGAATGTTATGAACAAGAATATAGGATCGAGTCTTAACACTCGCGCAGTGTAAGAGTGGGTAGATTTCTTAGATGTAGTTATTAATGTTCTCGTTATAGATTCTAAAATAAAACGGATAAACATGACATGAATATACGCCTTTCGTTTTCCCTCCCTCTTTATATAGTAGAGGTTTCATACAACGGACAAACATAACATGACTGACGCGATGTAAAGAAATAATAAAATAAAGAAAAGCCTTATCCCGGCGGGAATCTCTTCAGGCTTTGACACGCAACTTAAGAAACGAATCTTGCAAGTTTTGTTGATCTAATGAGTTGCTGAGTCCTCGTGATTTGCTCCCACTATTTTGTGGGACCCAAAAAATTTCGTCTTTTGTGAGCAAGGTATATCAATTTTGTTATTTACATTTGTTTTTTGAGAATATCGATGTTGTTTTTTTAAGTAACTCTGTAAATAAGTATGCAAACATGGACTCCAGGTGAAAGCCAAGGACACAAAAAAGTGTAGGATGCTTTAGGCTAGGGGTGTAAATGAGCAGAGCCGCTCGCGAGCTGCTTGTGAGCGGCTCGGTCAACGCTCGGCTCGAGCTCGGTCAAAATCGAGCTCGAGCCGAGCTCGAGCTGCTCGTCAGATAAACGAGCTCGAGTCGAGCCTAGATACTCTAGGCTCGCGGCTCGTCGAGCCGGCTCGCGAGCTGTATAATATATAGTATAATATAATATGTAACATAATATAATATAATTAAAATATATAAAAATAACAATTAAAATTTAAAAATTAAAATTTTAAACTCAAAAGCCCTAAAAAAATTTAGAATTCTAGCGCCTTCAGAATTCAGATTTCAAGAGAGACTTTGACTATTCGTCGGCTCAAAATCAAGCTCGAACTCGAGCTCAAGATCGAGCTCGAGCTCGAACAATCGAGCTGCTCGAGTCGAGCTCGAGCAGCTCGACAATTGCCGAGCTCGAGCTCGAGCATCAGGTCACGAGCTCGATCGAGCTCGAGCATGGGTATGCTCGAGCTCGGCTCGACTCGACTCGTTTACACCCCTACTTTAGGCAGCTGGAGAAACAGTGTACATTAAATACTAAATATATGTTACATGTAGAATACATAATATTTAGGGATATTTATAACTCAACTAAAAAAAAAATTAAAAAAAAAAAAAGTGCAACTTTCCAGCATTGAACCATCTGTTCTCAGTTTTCATTTCAAGGGTCTCCACCTCCAAAAGATCCTGCAAATTAGAGAATGCAAAATTTTCTTCAAAAATTTCTGATCAATGAGGTCTGTTCAGCAGAAATTTCCTGTTTTAAACTGCAGAAATTAAAAGGAAGAAAGCTATGAAAATATATGCAGAAGTCTTACCTATTTTGCTTGAAGTTTCACCAATTTCACAATCCTTTAGCCTTTGAAGCCTAATATCATACGATTCGTTATCCTCGAAAGACTTCCCACTAGTTGTAATTGAAATGGCTTCGGGAACAGAAAACGAATAACTGCTAGTCGCGGTATTCTGCTTCTTCATTGAAGAAGATTCGGCTGTAGAGCACAAGTCATCGTCCATCTTCGAGGTCGCCCCTTCGTTCTTTTGGCAATGGATGTCATCATCTTTCACCGGCCTTTCCTCTTCTTCTTCGGGCTTTGGTCTCTTTTTATTCACAACCCCATTATGAAAAGATGGCACCTTCTGATCATGAGACGAGCTGCTAGGACAAGGAGGAGCCTTCTCCTTTGGAATGGCTTTCGGGATGGCCAAACTCGCGTTACAGTCAGAGTTGTCAAACACAACTTCGCCCGCCCCATTAGAATTCTTCGCAGTTGCAGCAGATTCAGTTCCCCGCATGATGAATATAGCTTCAGTTAGGCGTTCCCTCGCCACATCTACATTGATTATGGGGTTCGGATAGTTCAAACCGAGCTCCACGCCAGCAGCCTTGAGCACGCTCGAAGGCGCATCCCAAGGATGATGAATCCACTCGGTTGGTACTCTCGCAAGCTCGGGCAGCCAATGCCTTACATATTCACCCTCGGAATCATAGTTGAACCCCTGGATCTGCCTCGAAATTTTAGTCAAGATTGAACAATTGAAGCATGTGCTCCATCTCAACTAAAAGGCTAAGCTGATAGCTACGCATGACCTTTTGTATGGCTCTGATACCAAATTGAAGCATGTGCTCCATCTTAACTAAAAGCCTAAGCTGATAGTTGGATTGCACATTTATGTTTATGTTATATTATATGCTCAACATGAACAAGTTCACTTTTTTAGGATTAAAAACATTAGTCCTAGGATTCACAATTCCAATCAAATGTTTCAAAGTTACAATCTTTAATGTTGTAACATGATTTAACACGAGATATGAACGTACCTCGGGGCTATCTAGGCGCTCGAGCTCATGCCCGTCTGGTAAGCTGCCGGATATATACTGCCATCCAAGAATATCGCTTTCCAAGTCTGCATCAAGAAGAGTATCCCAAAAATACTTCATACCCCATTGCCATGGCAGCAGAAGAAATTTCACAGAGAAACTCGAAACAATAACTCGTATTTTATTATGAACCCATCCAGTAGCCCATAGCTCTCTCATTCCCGCATCGACTAAAGGATACCCGGTCCGACCCTGCCTCCAAGCCTTAAACCGGGACTGATCAGCATTCCAAGGGAAGTATTTCAGGTTGGTCAATAACGATCGTTCGTGAGTAAACGGGAAGTTAAAACAGATGTAGCGGGAAAATTCTCGTAGCCCAATAGCTCTAAGGAAAAGATTTGCGCTTTCTTCTCCTGTCGAGTTCCCTTCTCTTGCCCAGAGTATACGCTTCATGTGCACGGAATGGAATACTTTTCTCACGCTTAATTCCCCGAAATGAAGATAAGGGGACAAAAGAGATGTAGAATTCCCCCCGACTTTGATCCTACTTTTTGAGTAGTCAAGCAAATGATGTTCTATAAACTCGGTTAGAGCTTTATCGCCATTACTCCACCCCGGTCTCCATCCCCTTCCCAGTAAGGCATTACTAGACTTTTCTGCTTCATTTTCAAGACCCAATTCCTCGATCGAGAGCTTCTTAACTGACCCAGCAGCTGCCATTAATCGCCATGGAGGTAGATGTGAAACCGGTTCCTTGTTCTGGTTCAAGCACTTCTCCCAATACGCATCAAATCTTGTATACACTTTCCCATCATCGTCATAAACTTCCCACGGTTCATTCAACAACTCCGCGTTGTAGCTTTGTACAGAATAACCGAGCTCCCCTAATTTTTGTTTGATGCTGTGATCACGCACAACAGAAATAGGATCTAACAAAATGAAAAGACAGATTCGAGTGCTTAGTTTGAAAATCGATCTTTCTTTTGCTTTTAACAGAACAATTTTGAAGTTATAACAAAGGAAACTATCAAGCTTTTACCAAACACTTTTCTACAATCAGCTAATGTTATCAACTATTTATACCCTCTAATTAACACAATCAGCTAACAGCTAACAACCATTTTACCAAACAGGGCCATTGCCTTTTTCATAAACTTCACCCTTTCGAGAAATTCCTAAGTTCATAACCTTACTTCTTGAACAAAACAAGGGAAAGCTTTGTGGTAGTTCAATGGATCAAACATGATACCAAATGAATTGATGGTGAGCATCAAGGTCACCAATTTTATAACACAAGAGTAAAAGAAATGAATGGAATGGAGGGGGGAAAAGAATACCATAGAGATGATTATAGACAACTTTTGTTGCCTTAACAGCAGCTATGCATTCCAGGAGGGCATCAAGAGTATTATCAGCTTTGATGAGCACCAATTCAGCTCCAAGGGACCTCAAAGACTGGTCCAAGTGAATGAGAGACTGTTTGAGCCACCACCTTGAAACCCTTCCAGGGTAGAATTGCCCTTCTTCTTTAGGGCACCATATAAAAACTGGGAATACACTCCCATCTCTAGCAGCAGTGGCAAAAGCAGGATTGTCCTCAATCCTCAAATCCCTCCTAAACCACACAATGGTCTTGGAGTTACTGTTATCCATCATCCCCCAACTCCTCCCCTTTTTGGCACAAAATTCAGATCCTCTAATTTCAATTTTTCAACTAAAAAGGAAACCCCACCTGAACATCCTTTCCAAAACCCAGAATCTTGAAAAGAAATATCAAAATCCCATATCTTTTTGCTCAAACCCAGACTGAGAATGACACAAATTCCAGCTTTTTCCAGAAACCCATCATAGCAAACCCCAAAATAAAGCCGCAATAAAAATCCCCAAAATAAGTCAATACTAATCCCCAACGTCAGCCAAGAATCATAATCAAACCCTGGGGTGGGGGGGAGCACAACAGAGAAAAAATATCAAAGCTTTTGTACAAATTTATTATTTCAACTAAATTCAATTAAAAAAAAAAAAAAAAAAAAAAAAAAAAACTACAGGACAAACCCACATGGAGCATTCATATTTGCTGGAGTCTTTTTCAACAAAGAGCAGAAAAATTAGACTTCATGTGAGCAACTGGGAGCCAAATCAGGGCAATAACAACTAGCAGGACAATAAAATATTAAATAATGTTATCCAATGGACCACCAAATTGCCACAAAAGGAAAACCAAACCAAATATAAAAAAAAAGCTTTGGGCTTTGGGCTATGGGCATTTGCATCTCATGTGATGCAGGGAGAGAGAGTAAAGAATTTCACCAGTTTCCTGATTGGGGTTTGGGACATTTTTGGAGTATATGCCAAATGCTCCGTACTGTTTTCTTTTCTATGACTCTTCCTTTTAGCGCCCGTATACTAAATTCTGTAAACCTTTCAAATTATTTGATATGACACCACTTTAATTCCTTTAATAGAAAAGTTTAGACAAAGGGGTCAATAATCCATATATTACACGAGATTTTGCTCGCTACCAAAAAAAAAAACACGAGATTTTGTAAATACGTGAAAGCTGTTTGAATTAGTGGGTTTGACTAGCTGATAACATTAATTTGTAAAACAATATTTGATAAATTAGCTGTTAGTTGATAATTAATTACATACAAAAAATGACTTTCTCAAAAAAGTATTTTGAGTAATTTTTTAAATTTTAGTGTTTTGGAGCAATAAACTATTACATAAAGCTAATTAATCAAACACTCATATTAGTTGTTTAACTAAGTTAAACAGCTAATAGTGGTCAAATAAGTCAAAATTAACTGATAAGTTAACTATTTTACCAAACATGACCAATAAGTCAAAAAAAATTAATTAGAAGCTTGAATCTTGAAATACATATATAATTTTTATCTCTCTTTTTACAAAATAAAACAAAAACTAATGGGTGTTGCTATTTGTACCCCCTTTGACCAAAAGTGGATATAAAGTATCTTGAAATTGTAAAAATGTGAAAATTTTTAATAATTGCATAGGTGGTGTAAATAGTCAAATAAAGATTTATTTTGCTATTTGCACCACCTTGACCAAACCTCATTTATGAGGTATAATTAATAATATTTTAATTCAAAACCTAATTAATTAAAACATTAATTTTTTTTTTTAAAAAAAAAAGATGAACCCAGTCACTGTTTTGTTTTTGTTTTTTATTTTTTTTTTTGTTTGTTTTAATGCCTAATTATTTATGCAATATTTTTTTAAGTTCAATAAATATTTTTTTTTAAGTTTCTATTTTCAATACATCTTTTTTTTTGTTCAATATATATATTTTTTGTTCAATACATATTTTTTTTAAGTTACTAATTTTAATACATTTTTTTAAGTTTCTAATTTCAATACATTTTTTTAAGTTTATAATTTCAATACATATTTTTTTTAAACAATTAGTCAATATTGATGTTTGTGAGATGAAATTACTGATAATTTAGGCGGCAGAGAATACAAATTGGACTCATATGACTCTTTATATATGTGGGGTGTGTGTTATGTATATGTATCACACAATCTATAAGCCATGGATGATTGGATGGAAGATTTTTTTAGTTACAATAATCAGAATCAAAGCCAGTTACTTAGTTACAATGATCAAGATCAAAGTCAAGGACATTATGAGGTATTTTAAGTTGTTATTTGAATTTGAATTGTTAATGAATTGTTATTTATTTCTATGGGTGTTGCTATTTGTATTTTAAGCCACTTTGTTCTTGCTTGCTAGGTAATTAGGATTCATTTAAATTAGATATAATTTCTCAATTGACTAAATAACAATCTCTTTGTTCCATGTCAAGAGAGAAAATTATAGTATTAATCAATTTAGTGAATATAGTTGTAAATCAATTTAATTTGTTGTGAATATAGTTGTAAATTAAGCAATTTATTGTATTTACAGTATAAACAAATAGGCAGAATTGAATTGTTAATGAATTGTTATTTATTTCTATGGGTGTTGCTATTTGTATTTTAAGCCACTTTGTTCTTGCTTGCTAGGTAATTATGATTCATTTAAATTAGATATAATTTCTCAATTGACTAAATAACAATCTCTTTGATCCATTTTAAGAGAGAAAATTATAGTATAAAGAGTAGTGGTGTCAATACGGGCTGGCGGGGCGGGGCGGGCCAAAGTCCGGCGGGCCGCGGGCCTAAACGGGGCGGGCTAAAAAAGCCCGCTCCTAAACGGTCCTAGGTTTGACAGGCCCGGACCGCCCCGCCAATGGCCCGCGGGCTAGGCGGGCCCCCGCCCAAAACCCTCTTTTAAAAAAAAAAAAAAATTGTTCATCAAACATCAAACTAATTAAAATAAATTAATACATAAGTCATAACTCACATGAAACATAATAATCAAACATAAAGTTCAAAGTTCATAGTTTATCAAACATCAAACTAGTCACAACTACAAAGTCCAAAAATATTACACATAAAATTAATTTTAAAGTGCATATTTTATATAAAAATGTTTTATATAAAATAAAATAAAATAATGGCGGGTAGCCCGCAGGCCCGGCGGGACGGGCTTGGCGGGCCGCGGGCCTAAGCGGGGCGGGCCAAAAAAGCCCGCTCCTAAACGGTCCTCTATTTTCAAAATCCGCCCCCTACCTAAGTAAGGGCGGGCCGGGCCGGCGGGCTAAGCCCGTTTTGACGACTCTAATAAAGAGTAATGAATTTGAGATTTTATTTATTGGGTGACTGGTGAGTCTATCTATATACTGAATTAATTTAATTTGTTGTGAATATAGTTATAAATTAATTAATTTATTGTATTTACAGTATAAAAAGATAGGTAAAAAAATCAATTTATTGAGTAATAAATAATATATTGGTTGTTGTTAAGTTAAAGGGGAGGAAACTCAACTCAAAAGGAAGAGTCCCTATCTCCATAAGAGGAGCAATACAGGAAGAACCGCAGCTATTGAAAATAAGCGATTTTAGCCCTTATGGCACGTTGTTGGAAGTTTTATCGGAAGATAAGTAGGCAAGGAGTGACCACCATCCAGATAGATGCTTTTTGAGTTCCCGGCTCCCGGCCTTAAAGAAGGAATACGAGGCGCAAAGCGTAGTGGATCTACTATTCCTGCTATCTTACTTCCCGAGGGGGAAGAAGCTGTTCTAGCTCTTGGCGACTCGGAATGAATGGTAACATGGTTCGAGATAGAGATGATGAGTAGGGAAAAGCCGCCGAACGAGAATGAATACCACACAGAAGAGTCAAGACCAGGCTCCCTAATGGAATGTTTAACCGATCCATTCCGGATCGACCGAATTGGTACGGAAGTTGTAACATGGGAAAACCACGGAAAACACGACTTATTTGAATAACCCGGTGACCTACCAATTGTACCATCTCGATGAATGGAAGAGAACTTCTTTTTCTACTTACCATAGCCAATAGTAAGTTTATAAAGCGTGAACGTGAGAAGGGAGAAGAAAACTCTTAGAACTCGAAAGCACCTTATGTAGCCTCTAGGCTACGATCTTTCGTCTCTTATGATCTTTCTAGTTAGAGAGAAAGATCACTCCTAAAAGCAGCCTTATAACTATACGATACCCCACCGCATTTTCATCGATAAAAGATCTTATTAGCTTATGAACAAAGTCACCTACGTCGGATCTTTCCCGAAACATAACTTAGAATCAGATCTTCATTATCTAAATAAACCCGGAACATACTATTCGGAAGCGATTCATTAATGAAACCCTCATGAATTCATTTTGGTTCTTTCATCCCAGGTACTGAGTACATAGAGCAATATATACTACAAAGAATACACAATTGTAGGAAACTATTCTACATAGACGGAAGAACAACCATAAATACAAAATTCAAAATAGAAAGAGTGTAGGAACGCATGCAGTAGACTTATTTTATGATTAGAAGCCTTGACCTCCACTTATTTTATGATTAGAATTTTAACTACCTCAAAATTGTTAGAACTATAATCCACATATCTTTATAAATTGTTACAGTATTTACAGTATAAAAAGATAAGTAGAAAATCAATTTATATTTCAAAGTCTGAATAGAACTCTAACCCACATATCTTTATAGAATTTTAACTACATCAAAATTGTTAGAATTATAACCCACATATATCTTTATAAAATTGTTACCGTATTTACAGTATAAAAAGATAGGTACTTTATAAAATTGTATTTACAGTATATTTATTCATTTCAAATATCACTAGTAATCATTTTATATTTCAATTTATAGTTAAATCAATTTAAAATAATGTATACAACAAATTTGAGTTATAAAAAATATTAGAATAACAAAATTAATTATTATTTCTCTTTATTTAAAATTAAAACATAAACAAAAATAAGTATTGAAAATATATACTTAAAAAACATGTATTGAACAAAAAAAGATGTATTGAAAAAAGAAACTTAAAAAAAAATTGTTGAAAATAAAAAACTTAAAAAAATATTGCACAAAATAATTAGGCATTAAAACATAATAATAATAATAATAATAATAATAATAATAATAATAATAATAATAATAATAATAATAAAGAGATTGATTATTAAATAAAAAATAAAAAAATAAAGATTAATGTTTGACTACATTTAATGAGGTGGTGCAAATAGCGCTTTTTTATTTGCACCACCTATAAAACTATTACACCTATTAAATAGGAGGTGTAAATAGCAAAATGAGTGATGCAAATAGAATTTCCCAAACTAATTCTAATCTAACAAGAATTCTTCTTTAGTTCTTCCAGAAAAAAGTTGAATTTCCAAATGTGGGAGTTTTTTGCACTTTTAGTCCCACGACTATAGTGGCACTGGCAGAATTGATCCACGACTTTTGAACCTTGCAATTTTAGTCCATGACTATTGATTTTTTTGTAAAAATGGTCCTTCCGGCCACTTTTCCGTCAAAATTTCACCGGAAAAAAAAAAATTTCTCAATTTTTAGCCGGGTTAAAATTGACATTTTACTTATCTCAAAAAATTAAAAGAAAAAAATTGATATTTGACTACATACAATATTACTGGGCTACATACTACTGCCCCAGGCGGCGGAGTTCCTGGAGCAGGCAGGGCTGTCAGTAAGCGGCAGAGCGGCCGTGGCGTTCCCCGAGCTAGTTGGGTTATCCGGCAGCAGCATTGGAGTGGTATATGTACTCCGCTGCCTGGGGCAGTAGTATGTAGCCCAGTAATATTGTATGTAGTCAAATATCAATTTTTTTCTTTTAATTTTTTAGGATAAGTAAAATGTCAATTTTAATCCGACTAAAAATAGAGAATTTTTTTTTTCCGGTGAAATTTTGACGGAAAAGTGGCCGGAAGAACCATTTTTGCAAAAAAATCAATAGTCGTGGACTAAAATTGCAAGGTTCAAAAGTCGTGGATCAATTCTGCCAGTGCCACTATAGTCGTGGGACTAAAAATGCAAAAAACTCCCAAATGTGGGTCAAAATGTATTTATTATAGTTAGAGCAAATGTGGGTCAAAATGTAATTTATGTGTTGTTGTAAAATTATAGATTCGTGACTTTCAATGCTTTGAGTGATAAGTTGGACGCGTCAAACTAGGCAAATTATGCAGTTAGCACGTGCCCACCTTATAAGGTGGACACGATTTCATATTCATAATTTTTATATTATAGATTTATAAAATTTATACTTTAGATTTCAATTGTTGAACTCTATTTTCATAAATCAGAGAACTATACGTTCATAATTTGATAACTATACAGTTTAGAAATTATGAATTTACAGTACATAAATTATGAATCTACAGTATAGATATTATGAATCTGCAGTATAAAAATTATGAATCTACTATATTTAAATTATGAATCTACGATTTAGAAATTGTGAATCTAAAGTATAAATTTTATTATTCCAAAAGACTGAACCCCAACCTTAAGGGCCCCCCACACCCCGGCCCGACAGAGCATTTTGGGAGGATGTAAATCATGGTGACTCAACTGAACATGAACCATAGAGGCTAGACCGGTGCTCACTGCGCACAATGAGCCCCCCTCACTTTGAGAGGTTGCTCCCACACTGTCGCTGGTGAGACTCGATTCCTAGTCATTATTCCAAAGTTTCACCTCTATGACCAGTTGAGCTACCCATGCGGGCTAAAGTATAAATTTTATAAATCTACAGTATATAAATATGAATCTACGATATAAAAATTATGAATATAGAACTGTGTCCACCTGGACACGTGCTCACAGCATATCGTTCTGTCAAACTAGTACATCTAAAGAAAATCACCATTCAGCACACTTTGACGTGTCAAACTTGGCTTTTGACGCATCTAATGCATGCAATGTGCACTCCAACAACTCTGCAACGCAACTTTAACTTCTAGGCCGATTTTGATCATGTAACTTCTGAATTTGACTTATGATCCTTTGAGTTGACTTTCTAATGATGTTTAAATTACCTCAATTTGGACCTTTCTATTGCAAGTTATGAACTTATGGTCAAAATACCGAGCAGATATCTTTTCGGATGAAAATGCATGCAATGCTGCACACTTTTGTTTTGCTTCTAGCATTAGTTTGCCTACATCATGAATAACATCAAAACACATTAAAATTGTTCAAAATCATACATAAGTCTATACTTCAATTAAAATATATGGGATTTGATCATTTAAACTCAAAAATAATTAAGACAAGTCAAAATTTAACAAACAAATATGAGTTAAAGTGTATTTATTATATATCTTATCATCATTCTGTATAATAAGCTATAACAATTGTCTCCCTAACAATCAAGTGAAAATTTACAATTCACAAACCATTTAACAAACAAGAAAGCATAAATCATTAGGCCTTGTTTGGTTAATGGCGGATCCGCCAAAATTTCGACGGATCCACCATTTTGGCGTTTTGACTAAAGTCAAAACACCAAAAATCATGTTTGGTTACTCAGTAGTTTGCTCCAAACCGCTGATCTTCAACACGCTACTATTAGCAACGTGTTGGGATGGCGTTTGGAAAAGATTTTTTCTTTCCCAAAACGCCCGCCAATTTTAAAAAAAAAATTAACTAACATTATATTATTATTATTATATTATTATATTATATATATTATATAATATAAGAATACGAAGCCTGAGGCTTCTTTAATTAAATAAAGAAGCCTCAGGCTTCACAACTCTTGCCCATCCGATGTGGGATGGGCAAGGGAATACTGTAATTGAAGGGGCGTTGAGCTCCCTTTTATAAGGGAGCCAACGCCCCTTTTATTTGTTTTACTTTCGATGTGGGATTAGAATCCCACATCTTTTTTGTTTGTTTTTTTTTCTTTGTTTTCTTATTATTATTATTATTATTATTATTATTATTATTATTATTATTATTATATATGTATACCATTTTTGTCATTTTACATGTTAACCACTAATCTAAACCGCTAATTTTACCAAACATCTTTTTATAGACCGCTGATATAATCCGCTGGTTAAACCCGCTAACATAATCCGCTATTTGTTAACCGCTAACACAATTTGCTAACGCTAACCGCTAACCGCTGTTTGCCAAACAAGGCCTAAAACTCACAAAACTTTTTTTGATGTCCTCAACAAACAAGAAGAGTAGCATTCCAAAAAAAAAAAAAAAAAAAAAGTATAAATAGTTAAAACTCACAAGAGTTCCTTTGATGTACTCAATAACTAATCCAAAAAGGAGAATTAGACACTTACCCTTTTGCACAAACACAACCAGCTCGCATTTCACACCCAAACCCCAAAGATATGATTATGACTAAAATATGAAACTACAAATTCAATCCTTGTTTCCCCTTTCTTCATATGTACAAACAATTAAAATTTAAATATTAATAAAATTAGGTGCTAATTATCATGCTCAAAACTCAATTAAAAGTAAGCATATTAATATTAGCCTGAAATTAATGAATTAATCTGAAAAAACAGAAAAATATATTAATGAATTTGGGTAAAATGAATTTGTGGAGGCTAAGAATGGCTCCATAAGATGTTTGAATGATGCTCTACTTGCTGAAGCTATGGCTGTAAAGGAGGCGTTGTCTTGGGCTAAAGAAAGAGGTGATAACAATTCCAATGTGATCATCTTCTCCGATTGTCAGATGGTTTGCAAGTGGTTTGAGAGTATGCCACGCGATCTTTCCTATGTTGGTTGTGTTTTAAATGAGTGCCGAATTCTTAAACGACACTTTGAATCAGTGTCTATTCGTTTTGTTCCGAGATCAACGAACAAGTTTGCTCATGCTCTTGCTAGAGCTACTCGTTGGCTTTCAATGATTCCTTATTGTATTGCATACTTATTTTAATAATATTATTGTTTTCCCTTCAAAAAAAAAATTAACCCAATAACTTGAAACCCATAAATTAATGGGTTAATCAGCTCAAGACTATTCTTTCTTTCACAAACAATTTAGAAAAAAATATACATGAAAACTTGTCATAGACTCTTTTTTAGATTTTTTTTTTAAGTTTTAAAATATAATTTTAATAATGTTATAAATTATTGTTCATGAAAATAGGGATAATGGTCAAATTGGCCCTTGAATATATTGGGATAATGCAATTGTGCAACCACCTAAACTTGACAAAAAAAAATTCATGTTATATTAATTTACCTCCCTAATTAAAAGTAACCCAATAATGTATTTATCGTCCCAAGTATATGATTACTTGGGAACTCCTAAAGGTAGACAAAAACAAGTGGATACACAAAAAAACATTATTGACACAAAATAAGGTAGCCAGGTGACAACATATACATATTCAGTAGTAGTCCATAAGCCTAGAAAGGGCACATAGTTGATAGTCAAAACAACTTGTCATCTGGAAACCATCATGATAATAAGGAGCCCTGCCTGTAACCATACTTTTTATCATAAGAACGAGCTCCTGTTCAGCGTTACCAGATGCCACATTATTCTTCCACATACATATAAGTCATGCACGGATAGTAGATTGAAGATCGGAAACCCCTTTCACGATATATAGGATCAATTAGCACGCTCCTGGAGCACCTCGAGATCCACCTCGGTTGCTTCAGTCGCTTGTATCTCGTAGTGGATGCCTTGGAGCTCCCTCCTGAACCTGTCCTTGGATGTCGCATATAGCATCTTAGAACGGATCCTTGACACCGAGGGAGACCTGATCGAACACACCACATTAACGCTAAAATTCAAAAAGCTGCTCAAAGTAGCTTTTTCGATGAACTTTTTGAGAAAGTCATTTTGCATGTAATCAGCTATCAGCTTATAGCTAATTTATCAAACATCTTTCTACAATCAGTTAATGTTATCAACTAATTAAACCCACTAACCCAATCAGCTAACAGCTATTTACCAAACACCCCTATGTCAAATAGATTTAGCTTGATAAATAATATAACTTACCAAGCGATGAAAAATATCTTGCTCTTTTGGCAATTCTCGGAAGTAACAAAATCGAAGTCATAGACAGCATAACGGCAATCGTTCTCAGGCAAAGACGCAGTAAAATCATCGTAGCTTTCAGCTGGACCTCCAGTTTTCTCAACCACAACTTCTTTCTTCTTCTCATCTATCTTAAAGATCACGTAACGGTGCACCTTCTTTCGTTGCAATTCCATGTACGTGCTTTTGCTGTGGTCAGCAACTCCCATCCCGGAGGATGCATTTGCCTATAAGCATAGCGAATTAGCAACGTAAAGCTTTAGTTTTGATGAATAATGATTCTTTAAACCTATAGTGATGACATTAAGACCCGATCAATCCAAGGAAGAAATGGCAATAAGATAAACGGGATTTGAACTATCCATCTATCGATTACAAAGAGAAGATTCATCCATACCCGACAAGGGGCAAAGGACAACTCAAACCAATCCCGACTTTAAACTTATACTACTAGATATGGATATAGATGCAAAGATACGAAGTCATTATAGAACTACAAGCTATCCGTCAAGTTGTTCAAGAAGGCAACCTAGAGATAAAAATGAATTTGAACTACCCGACATGGAAATAAAATCAAACAATGGATACTGACACAGAGACTCGAGAAAGTTCTGATTTTGGTAGTAAAACGCCCATTTTTTCAACTTGTAAGGGTGGTTCAGTAGCCAAAGATCAAGATCCGGTACTTGGCAGCTAAGAATATGAAAGAAGCTGCACTTGCATTCTTCACCATACCAACAAAATCAAGATACAAAAATGGCTAAAACACCAATTATTAACTTTAAGGCGGTCCGGTCCAGTGACCAAAATAAGCAACAAAGTCAGAACATCAAGAGACAGTACTGAGCAATGAAACACCACAAAAGAAAGAAACATGATAGTAATGATAACGATAATCTGTAATTTTAATCGATCTGCAGTTCAGAACCATATATCAGACATTCAGCAGCACATTGAAAAAACAAATCTCAAACAAAATACCATTGCAAAAAAAGAGTCCAGAAATGGCAAAGAAATGAAAATATACCAACCAAACAAGGATCATTACAAACACATATAAGTTGATTCCAACCACTAGGCATAAAACCAGTAGATTACAGTCAAATGCTCCAATTCTTACACTAATTACCAGATTCAACTCTCTTACTTGTCACAAGTACACAAAGATGCAAACTTTCTTAGCAGTCCAACTTCATTGCTAAAATTAAGCACAAATTGAATAATGGTGGATCAGGGTAACCAAAAAAAAAAAAGCATTCTTTCAGATCTAAACACAAAAAAACAACTTCAGAAAAGTAAAATGAAAATAGCCCAAGAAGATTTACCCCTCTGGAAGACATTTGTTTTTGTTATCGGAAATCAGAAGCACAGAAAAGAGATTTAAGGCAAGAAAGAGGTAGTACGCAGGAAATACAAGGAAAGAAAATAGGAGAATAATCTGAATTAAAAGGAGCCACTCAGGAGAGGAAAAAGTAAAGAAACGGCAAAATTCCCATATCCAGTTGCCATGCCCACCCTTTCTCTTTTAAATGAATTATTATATTTTATTCCATTTCCAATTTTTATTTTATATATAATACCTAATATTTCAATTATTATGAAATTAATATGAATTCATCTACTCTTACAATTAACATATAACTTACCAATTATGCAAAATATTTTTATAAAGGATTATAACATTTAATTTAGGACGAGCCAGATGACTAGTGCAGGTGGATTAATTAGGGACCACAATGATTCTTGGATTGCTGAGTTTGTAATTAAGGTGGGAATTGTAAGCAGTTACGTTGATCAACTTTGGGGTTGAGAGAATGACTCATTCTTGCTAGAGATCAATGGATGGAGAGAATTGTGGTCGAGGTGGATTCTGAGCTAATTAGTCTTATCATACTGAGCAGTAAAAGTAAACACATCTAATGTCATACTACGGTAAGACTAATTCAAATTTATATGATGTCGTACCAGTAAAATTTAACTCTTACTTAAATAAAAATGTAGCTCAAAACTCTTAAACATGACACATTATTTATAAGACTCTAACATTCAACTTTACATTTGCATTAATATGATATATCAGTTACAATGGTCAGTGTATCTTTTCGTGTCATTGATCAATATAACACCAAAAATTTAATAAAATTCTACCACGTCAAAAGTAAAAATGTTAACTATTATTAAAAAAATAACATTTTTGTATATAATTAATTAGTTTTTATTTAAAGAAATAGTACCCTCCCTTCTTTTTTTTTTTTCCTAATAATAATTGATTGATAAGTATATATTCATATATTTCAGTTGTTGCTGCATAGTTGATTGTACTCATTTTTTGCCAATAATTTGAAGTGCATGCAACAATTCAAACTGATTTGGTCATCCACTATCATCCTTATCAAATTAAGTACTTTTAATTTTAAGAATCTTTCTTAATTTTGTCCTCCCGTCAATTTGAGTTATAGAAAAATAGTCAATTTGAATCGTAAAATGATAACAGAAGAGAAATTAGATAATTTTTTTAAAATTAATGACTTAATTTAATAAGGATAATAGTCGAAAATCAAATCGATAATTTCGCTATAATTCCAAATCAGTCATTATCTCATTCAAACATATAATTGTTGATCGACATGTTCCCTCAAGTCCCCAACAGTCTGATCTTATCTTCATTTCATTTGAAAACGTACAAAGCAACGGATACAAATCTTCGGCCTATTAGAAAAGTACGTGCCACACAAGTCACAACAAACCCAGTAGACTCAGGCAAAATATATTGGCTAATGGTATCCGGGTTGGACTTCCATTTGGAAGGTTGTAAGTTCGAGCCTTAGTGGAGGCGTTATTGGCTCTTTGTGTTTCAGTAGGTTGAGAAAGTATATGAACAGATACTACAATGTAATAGAGCTAGTAGCATTCAAAAAATATTGTTCACCATGAATCCATGATTCATATTGTAATATGAATCACAGATAAATATTTATTTTAGTATATTGAAAGTTCAATTTTAGATAACAAACCAAATAGTGATCATTCATTATACCAAAAAAAAATAAACATGTAATGTATTGAAAATTAATATTCAGTATATTAAAAAATGAACTTTATGTTAATGGTTCACTTCATCATGATCCCCATGATATAATAATTGGTAGATTTAATGGCCGAGTATCCTCAACAAGCTCCGAGATTTGTCTGTAAATGAATCATGATTCTTATATATAAGGGATAGGATGGGGAGGGGGCAACTGCCCACACAGTAGATCTGTCCCTGCTTATTTTACATTTTAATATGGTGGAGCAAAATATTTATTGGAAGTTCATAATATTCCATAGTGATAAGTTATATTTAATTCTAGCTGATGAGTTGAGTGTAATGCCCATATTGTTTTTTTAAAGGCAAATTATATCGTACACCTCAAAGCCTACCTTGCAATGTGAATGCTGAAATATATTCATTTTTAGTGTGGTAGTGTTTCATTTTTTTTAGTAAATTCATTATATTTTGATACATGTTCATTTTTAATATACTACAAGTTCATTTTTAGTAGAAAAAAGAGTCACATATGACTAAATTTTATTTGAAAAGTCAATTAGGCCTTTGAACTTTAAAAAAGTGCACTTAAGTTCATCAATATGTTATTTTTGGGCACTGAATATGTATAAGGAGTTTATATATCTTGCCATGTGAATCTTAGTCCTTGGTATAACATTGTTTTTTAAGCAATAGGTTTAACTTCATATCTCATTTATTTGATCCTATTACATGCACTTATAAAAAAAAATAAAATTAAAAAACACTTACCAAGTAAAGGGACATGGCAATTGTGGGCCATCTTGTTCTTAACTCTCTGGGACACTGGACTATTGGAGTATAAGTAAAAAAAAATCAACCCCATTAATAACCTTTTGGTAGAATTATTAAGGCTTAGGAATTAGCAATATAGAGGTTGAATGAACTTCTCCTCCCAAAAAGTTGAATTCCCAACTCCAAGGGCTCTTACACACCGATACATCAGCCCGACAACATATTTACGAAGATGTAAATTACGGTTACTCAATGACTCAACAGATTGGGCCAAATGCTGGTGTGCACAAGAGATATGTTTATGTTGGCATAATCCTCACACTGCCGTCGTTGAGATTCGAATCTTGGTCTCTTCTCCAAATATTACCTACTGAACCATTGAGCTAAGTTCATGCGTAAACATTATTAAATGAGCATGTTCGTGAACATTATTAAATAAATACTATCGAGCACGTTCATGAATATTATTAAACGAATACTAACGAACGCGTTTACGAGCTCTTAGCAAACGAGTATTCAAAAGTTTATACTCTATTTATTTATTAAACGAGCATCTAAAATTTATTCATTTATGTTCGTTTACCTTAATAAACGAACACGCTTTCAGAACACAAACACGAGTAGTTTACCAAAAGTATTGTTTGCTAACACCCCTAAACGCAACCAAAGCACCCTCTGGGCGCGCCTGGTGCGCCAAACTAGCACCAGGCATAGCTTTATTTATTTATTTATCTTCCCATCACAAGTTCCACAAAAAATCATATATACTGCAACCCACTCATCTCTCATATTTCTCTCCCTACTAATTCAACCTTGACCCCACGAAATTTTTTTCCAAAAACCCCTAATGAGGTTGATCTAAGCATCCCCATCACTTGGAGATGTCATCAAATTTTTTCAGGCCACCTAAGAAAAATGAGGGAGAAAAAAAGAAAAAGAAAAATAGTATTGTCAGAAAAAAAAAAAAAGTGAAATAACTACTTAAATAAAGATTCAAATCACTATTTGAAATTAGTACCAAAATTTTGAGCTATAAATTTTTAAAATTGTATTTTGTGATTGTAAATTTCACTAATTTTGAATTATTTAACATTATTTTAAATTTTATAATATTTATATATAAGATATAAGATATTGCACATGTGAATTACTAGTTTAAATTTAAATAAAGGGAAAATGACACTTTTTCCTCCTGAGTTATATACCTATAGCATTTTTCCCCCTAAATTATTGAAGTGGTTGTTTTTCCCCCTGAAATGTTAAATGGACATTTTACCCTTAAACTAAATATTTAATTTATTTTTTTCTCCAACAATTATGACCATAATTTGGTTCAAACTAAACAAACACTATAGCAACCAAATCGAAATATTCCAATTACAATTTAGAATCGAAATTCGATATTTAGAGTTTATTAAAATCGTGAATCGGAACGGACGGTTCATGTTCCGAACTGAAAAAAAATACATTTATTGTTGAATTTAGACTATTTTAAAATAAAGACGGTTCAAAACCGCGAATCAGATCCGAAACCGCCGGTTCACGGTTCAAGATTCAATTTTTTTGATACATAATTTTAATAAATTGACATTTAAATATTGGGTTCTAGATCTGAATTATAACCGTAAACTATTAATTCGATTGCTTTAGTATCCGGTTCAATTCAAATCGAACCGTGGTCATCCCTACGTATACGCAATAATTTGTTGGAGTAGTAAAATAAATAAAATGTTTACTTTAAGAGTATAAATGTCAATTTAATATATCAGGGGAAAAAAATACCACTTTTAGAATAATTGAGGGGGCTAATGTGCTTACCTAAATAATTGAAGAGAAAAAAGTGCTATAAGTATATAACTTAAGGGTAAAAAGTGTCATTTTTCCTAAAATAAAAGGAGTTAAAAAAGGGGCCCGGAGCAATCATTTCGGGTCACATCCAATCAAGAAAACCCGTTTTATTTTCCAGTCTTCACTTCCACTGCCGTTCGGGCGCTATTTTTCAAATTACGGTTTATGCAGCCGCGATAAATGGAGTTACAGGGTATAACCGTTAATGCCCTAATTCCTCTCACTCATTTTTCAATTTTCTGTGAATTAAATTGTTCTATAATTCATTCATCCCTTTGATTATTTTCACTTCTATTACGATTTTCTTAATTAGGGCACAGAGGCTCTAACCCTAAAGCCGTGCTTTCTTCTATCCTGAACAAGAGACAGAAGCTTCAAGAAGAGCTCCGAAGCGTTGAAAAACAGGTTGAAATGTCCCTCTTTTAATAATTTTTTCTAATATTACTTTTAGTCTGTTTGTGTTGTGTCTATTTTAGTTGTTAATTACGCAGAAATCCGTTTCACGTTGGCAGTTTATATGGATAAGTTGAGCTTCGTCTTCTTTTCCCAGTAAAATGAGTGATTTGTTGTTTAAAATTTTAAGCAGAACGCGGAGTTTATGAGTATATGTTTTCGCAGGTATATGAGTTAGAGACGACTTATTTGCAGGAAACTGGGACATTTGGGAATGCATTAAGAGGCTTTGAAGGATTTTTATCTACATCAAATAGAAGTTCAAAGTATGGAACTTTGGCTTAATCTTCCATTTATTTAGTTTTCTAGCATTTTAATCATTTGTTAAGGTTGGAGTTCATGCTTATTAAGAACCTTTTTGGGGCCAAAAACAAATCTGAAATCTACTTTTATACTGCCTAGACACCTATAAACTGTCATTACTGCGAACGTTCATATCGTATTATCATCAAAGGCAATGTTGTTCCCAAAATAGAACATGCTTGATTTGATTCCTTCAGAATTTCTGTAGAATGCATATTTCAAAAATTCCACGAATATTGTTGATCTCTGGAATATTAAAAAAGTAACTTTGAATGAAGAAATTTGTTTTGTCTTGTAATGTTTCCTTACCTGCATCAGTTTGTTTATTGTGGAGTGGAGATTAGATGAACTTGTTGCTAAGCTCTTTAAGCTAATGACTTCATGGTCAACAGTTCTAGGTGATGGGGCCTCAAATAGTGAGAGATCAAAGACTTAACCTAAAACTTGCTTACCTCAAGTTAAATTTCAAGTATTGATAACTATTGATTTTCTTAATATTGTTCTTAGTTCTCATTCATCCAAAATCCCCATTCTGAAATGCGAATTTTGATGTTTGGACTTGAAATATATAAACATCTTTTATGTTCTCCCGTCACGGGCATGTAAACATAAGGAAAATTGAACAAAGAATAACAGTTGGAAAAGAAAAAGAAGAAAACACTGGGTTTGCTTGAGACCCAACACTCCCTTAGACCCTTTTTGGGATTAAATTTTTGCTTGCCATTATTCTGAATAATACTCCCTTTTTGTAGGGTTGATTACAAAGATTCCTAAACTAAGAATGATTAATTATTTGGTAGTTTCTAAATAATTAAACTACATAAACTAATTCGAAGACCAAGAGTAATAAGTTAAATAACTACTCCGTATTTAGTAATTTCTAAATAACTATTTAGTAGTTTCTAAATATATAAACTATGTAATGTAATAGTAATAAGATAAGACTTCCTAAATAAGCATGTATCAACATCCCTGAAAACCTTGGAGTATTCTAACATCAGCAGTGAAGGATGTTTCATTTCACAGAGATATAGCTATACATCTTTTTCTTTTTCTGTCTGAAAAGATGATTGTAATTTGATTTTTGGTTCTTATATGTTATATATATACAATTATTTTTGAGTTTTTGTTTATTTTGGTGCTTCCATGAAAATACTGCTCTAATGCCATTTCACAGCCTCAAGAGATCAAGAAAATTTCAACTTGAAGACAGATTATTTTCGCTGTCCTCAGTCACTTCACCAGCGGTAGGCACTCATACTATATGCATCAGCTTTTATCATTCTTGAGATGTTTGAGGAACTGGTTTACATATCCTGAGTAAAATATGGCCTTAGAAAAAGCATGTTCTAGAAGCTTTTGAAGTCATGTCTGTCATGAAATGGGACCAAGACAAATTTGAAAAATAAAAAGTAACAAGAATGAAATGCTTTCTTAGTTGGATTTAAGTTCTGCCAAGTAGGGACTAGCTCAGTTGTAACTTCTGTCACTTAAAGGTGTTCCCAGGTGTAGCGAGGAGCCAAAGAGTAAATCAACGTGTGAGCATTGAATTTTTTGTTCAACTGGGTTCTACCAAGTACCATCCGATAAATGATTTAACCAACTGCTTTTTAATAATTTAAATAATATATACAGATCTTTCTAAATACATTATTATACAGAGCATACTTTAATATCAATAATCTAAAATAAAGTCAAAATGATAGATACAAAAACAGATTTAAGCAAAGTACATAGTCAATTAGCCAAATTTCCCTTTTTTTCTTTTGGTTCTTGAGTTTTAACTCGACTTCCTTTTTTTTTTTTTTTAACTCAACAAAGCAGTAAATCTGCAGTTGCCAAATAACTGCTTTCTTAAGGCTGTTCAAATGGGTAGATTGCATTTTTGGTATTTAACAAATACCTAACCATGGTTCACGGTGAGGTCTGGTTTTCATAAAACTCGTAAGTGGATTGAACAAAATATATATGTGTACACTTTGTTGGTCAATTTGGCAAATATTATAGGAGTTTTATGGTTGTCTTTAATGTGCTACTTCAATTTGGAAAGGAATAAGATGGTGGCTAGATGGTGAAACTTGAAAGAATGCAAGATATATGTCTTCCTTCACTATACTTTTAACACATATTCAGTGGGAAAAAGCTAGAATCTTTTTGGTTAGGGTATTATATTGGGTGCTGAGGTTGAGACTCTAGTATTTTGACTTATAATCTGAACTTATATTATGATTTAATATACAGATCCTATGAAAATTTTGTTCTTCTTGACAATATCAAGGATGAAAGGATTATGTTTTAGGAAGATGTTTTATCACTGTTTCCGTATAGTACTTCAAACCTTCTTAGTGAACCCCATTTGTGCATTATAACAACTCTATAGCCATGCTTCCCTTGTTTCCATCTTGTAGAAGTGTCACCTACAATTTGATTCCATTGTGTATAATATCATCCTCCTGTTCCAGCTGCTTCTACACTTCCTGAAACTTTTCTTGCGCGTTTGACCCTATAGAAATACTTTATTCACTATCAAAGTATCTATTAGGGAAAGTTTCATGAGATTTGGTTGCATTTGTATTTTTGAGGTTCAGAAATTCTGGACTTCATCAAGTACTCTGTATTAATAAAGAGTGCATTATTTTCAAATGCACGAATTCGTTCTGAAAAGATCACTTTCTATGTGCATTATAAACATCTCTCCTCTTGCTTGCAGCTCTGATGCTATGTAAGTATGTTGTAGTGGGGTTAATCTCTCTTTTACATAATCTGCATCAGTTGCCACTTAGTATACGCTGTAGATATTCTAAGACTTGGAGCACGTTATTAGGCTTACTTTTTTATTCCCTCATGACAGGCTGAAGAGCTTGGACTTGGACGAGAAGGTTAGTCTTTTTTTGTCATTCTCTTTAATGTAAAGCATATCTGGGCGGTGCAACTAAGTTCAACTAATTGCCTGAGTATGGTATCTAGACCAACTTGACAATATTAGTTCTTTGATGTGTCAAGTATCACTCCATTACTCGAGATCTTTTGACGATTTATTTTGTCATTCTTCTGCTGCCCGGTTATCCAATATAGATGGAAAACCAGATCAGGGTCAAGGTCGGTCCAAGGCTGGAGGCATAACAATAAATGGACAGTACGTGCATCTTTCAATCCTAAATATTGAATGACAATCTTCTATATAGTTCATTTGGAAATAGTTTATATGTGAGTGTCATTCTTGACGCAGGGGGAAACCAAAAAAGGGAAGAACAGGAGTGAGGGATACAAAGAAATTCAGGGGTTCAAATGACTTGGATATTGACGATGACGATGATCCAGATATGATGGGCATGAGATAGCCAACTTGCTTTTGAAATTTCGGTAATTCAAATACTCTGTTGTACCATATTGTACTGTAGTATGTGATGTGCTATGTTTAACATGCATCTATGCAGCTTTCTTTTTTTCTGCAGTCTTGATTAGTTGTATTTGGTGTCCTAGTGAAACCTCCCCTGTCAATCTAAAATGTATATTGTACCATCTCTGTAACTCTTGGTTTGCATAATATTGTGTCCAACTACATAGGGAAGGGTATAATATATTGATGAATAGTTAAAAAACATTATTGACTGGGTAAATAAATAGTGATTCATGACATCCTATTTGCATACTAAGAATACTAATCATTTAGGGCAATTCTAGTTAGGTTACTTAGGTTGGTTGGAGTGTTGGCTTGGTAATCATAGGTAGGAGTTGGAATATGCCAGGCCCCTTCATAGGGGCCTATGGCCTGGCCTATTTAGAAATAAGGCTAGGCCTAAGCCTATTAAAGTAAATAGGCCCATGCCTATATGTAAAGGCCTGGCCTACGAGCTTGCAAACTTGGCCTGTTTATATATATACATATATAGGGAAGGGATTAGGTGCACGAGTGGCTTCTCGTGCGGTTATGCGGGTGGACTCACATTAAGCATTAAACTGGGATACTTTAAGTACACAACACACGCACATTAAGCATACTAACAAAACATCTTAAAAATACAAACTCACGCACCTTAAGCACAAAACGCACGCACCTTAATCACAAACGCCACGCAACTTAAGTTTTTAACAACTACTCACATTAAGCACTAAACTCGCGCACCTTAAGCACAAAGACTCACGCACCTTAAGCACAAAGACTCACGCACCTTAAGCACAAGACTCACGCACCTTAAACACAAAATTCACGCACCTTAAGTTTCAACAACTACTCACATTAACTACACACCCACCCACCTTAAGTACAAAACTCACGCACCTTACTCACCGCACAACTGCATGGGAGACACTTACCCGCACTAGAACTTATAAACTTATATATATATATATATATATATATATATATATATATATATATATATATATATATATATATATATATATATATAATATATATATATATATCAGGGCCGGTTCTGAGCATGTCTAACATGTGTGACCGCACAGGGCTCCCAATTTTTTGGGGCCCCATATTTAAGAACAAAAAAGGCTAAAGTGTCATCCTCGCACCATGAATCATTCCAGATTATTCATGCCGCACCATGATCTTTAATAAGTGATATTTAGAGCCATAAACCATAATTTGTTTTTCGTTTAGAACTTTTTACAAGTTTCTTACAGGTTAGTGATAATAATATTACTGACATGGAATTTTTTATTAGTTTTTTTTTTTGGTATTTTTCTTCATTCGCCTTCATAATTTTTTTTTTTTTTTTTTTTTTTTTGCATTTTTCTTTTTTCCTAAACGTATAGGCTTGCTCGGCGTTTTTCGCTTCTCGTTTCTCCAATCAGGGCTGCTCTGTATAGGCCTGCTCTGCAGAGTTTGGTATCGGAGAAACGAGAAGCGAAAAACCCAAAGCAGGCCTATACGTTTAGGAAAAAAGAAAAATACGAAAAAAATTATAATACTTTTGACGGTTCCAAATGCTACTATTGCATATCAAATATTATAGATTATCCCAATTTTATTGTTATTTCTGCAGAAAGGAGTTGATCGAAATTTTTGAAATCTTGCTTACGATCAAGTATATTCCATGAGAGACTCAATGGAATTGCTTTAATCTCCATTGAAAATGAGCTTTTGGAAGAAGTTTATATCAAAAGTGTGGTAGATGATTTTACATCTAAATGTGCACGACGCATGTCATTTTTAAATGAAATTTTAGATGTATTTTTTCATACAATATTTATATTTTGATACAACTTTTTAAACAACTATTATTTAAATATAGAAATTACTTAAAAAGGGTCACAAATTAAGATATTGCGCGGTCCCAATTTTTATTGGAACGGCCCTGATATATATATATATATATATATATATATATATATATATATATATATATATATATATATATATATATATATATATATATATATATATATATATATATATATATATATATGAAAGGGTTCAGGTGCGGGTATAGCTTCCCATGCGGTTGTGCGATTAGATCTGAGCCGTTGATCAAATTTAGATCAACGGCTCAAATCAATGAAAATTAAAAAAAAAAAAAAAACGCGTGTCTAGACGAAAGAAGCATAAGCTAAAAATGGCGCACCTTAAGTGATAGAAACACGCACCTTAAGTGTTAGATCTTAAGCACAAACTTATGCACATTAAGTACAAAACCCACACACATTAAGCACAAACTCACGTATATTAAACACAAAACTCACGCACTTTAAATATTAACTCACAGACTTCAAGTTTTAACAACTACTGATATTAATCACAAATTCACGCACATTAAGTACAAAACTCATGCACATTAAGTACAATCTCACGCACATTAAGCACAAAACTCACGCACTTTAAGTATTAACTCACAGACTTTAAGTTTTAACAACTACTCACATTAAGCACAACTACACGCACATTAAGCACAAACCTCACGCACCTTACGCACAAGACTCACGCATCTTATATACAAAACTCACGTACATTAATCAAAGAATCGTTCACCTTAATTTTGACCTAGATGCAAAAATTACAAAATTGTCACCGCATTTTTTTAAAATTTTTTTTTGTAATCCTGGACGTTTATTTAAGCGAGATGAATGGCCCAGATTAAACCACACAACCGTGTATATATATATATATATATATATATATATATATATATATATATATATATATATATAGGGAAGGGTTCAGGTGTGGGTATAACTTCTAGTGCGGTTGTGCGGTTAGATCTGAGCTGTTGATCAAATTTAGATCAACGGCTCAAATCAATAAAAATTATAAAAAAAAAAAAAAACGCGTGTCGGGAAGAAGATAGCACCTACACAGCGTCTACACAAATGTTAGCGTCTACACAAATGATAGCGTCTGCACAACATCACGCACATTAAGTACAAACTCCACACACATTAGGCTCACACACATTAAGCACAAACCCCACGCACTTTAAATATTAAATCACAGATTTTAAGTTTCAACAACTATTGACATTAAGCACAACCCCACGCACATTAAGTACAAACCCCACACACATTAAGCACAACCTCACGCACATTAAGCACAAACCCCACACACTTTAATATATTAGCTCACAGATTTTAAGCTTCAACAACTATTGACATTAAGCACAATCTCACGCACATTAAGTATAAACCCCACACACATTAAGCACAACCTCAAGAACATTAAACACAAACCCCACGCACATTAATCACAGATTCGCTCACCTTAATTTTGACCTACATGCAAAAATTACAAAATTGCCACCGCGTTTTTTTTTAAAAAATTTTGACAATTCTGGACGTTGATTTAAGCGAGATGAATGATCTAGATTAAACCGCACAACCGCACCCGAACCTAATTCTATATATATATATATATATATATATATATATATATATATATATATATATATATATATATATATATATATATATATATATATATATATATATATATAATCCCAAATTTGAATTGTTAAAATCAACGAGTAGTGCAGATTGATAAGGTTCTAAGGTCGGATCTCAGTGGGAGTGACCTATTGTCCTTCTTGGTTTGAGCCGGTCAGCTATGGCAACCTAACCTGGTTTACCTCGTTATCCTTTGCCGGTTAGGGTCACAAGGCAGAGTTTATCCGGTGTAGATAGTGGCTCCGGGTTTCTCTCGTCACCCAAAAAAAAAAAAAAAGAATAATAGTTATGATAATTTTACTAGGATAATGAGCTGAGTCTGTATTAAAACGTCAAAGACAATAATGTTAACGCGTTGGTGAAACCTTTGAATCAGTTTACTGCATTACCTAGCTCTGGAAGTAGTCACTGAATCAGTAAAACTTTTGAATCAGTACTCAAATACATTCATTTTTAATCATCTATTAAATAAGGTAGTTCCAAGTGGCCCGTACATAATTTTTTTTAAATATCTTTCTTGTACTTCTATACATATTTTGATGTGTTCAGGTCTTCTATGTATTTATTATTAAAGCGTCATGTCATTGACTTTGCATTGTAAATTTCACATCTACATCTCTATGGGTCTTACTTTTGATAATATTTGTCTAAATTATCATATAAACCTAAATTTTGAATAATTACAATGAGTTAATAACAAGAAAGAAAAGCCACTATTTAAGCTTAATAGTCTTTGATAGTGTTGGAGTTACTAATATGAGTATGTAAGATTGACATGCATGCTAAAGAAAAAGACATGGGTCGGTCTAAATTAGGTATGCTATTTCTACAAAACAAGTGAGATTCTTATTGCTATTTCTAAGGCAAAACTTGATATTTGGCCTTGTTTGGTAACATAGTTAACTTATCAGTCAATTTTGACTTATTTGAGCATTATTAGCTATTTGACTTGATTAAACAACCAATATAAGTGTTTGATTAATTAGTTTTTTTGTAACAGCTTATTGCTCCAAAACACTAAAATTCAAAAAGCTGCTCAAAACAGATTTTTTAATCAGCGTTTTTAGAAAGTCATTTTGTATATAATCAGTTATCAGCTAATACTTAATTTACCAAACATCTTTCTACAATCAGCTAATGCTATTAACTAGTCAAACCCACTAATTCAATCACACGTTATTAACTTATTATTTGGTTAGTTAGAATTGGTCATACTCATTAGTCTTCTATAGATTGAACCTCCCCATCATTTGAGAGGGTTGGTTTCAAAAGTTATTAATACCTAGTACTATTTTGCTCCCGACCCACTTTAGGTGGTTCGGACATGATTTTCTTCACCCTAATTAAGGTATTGGTTGGTACTAGTCTTACACAATTGATTCATTAACACCCCAATAATTTATCATTAAACCACTCGTTATGTTAGGTTGTTGGGGTAATCATCCAAAACACCAATTCATTGTATTATTTAATTATTAGGTTTGAATAATTACTCATTGATGATTTGTTACAACTTATGAGTTATAGCTGTAAAGTGTAAATTCATGAAAAATAATTTGTACTTTTCGTAAATTATTTTGATATAAAAATTGTATTGATAACTTAGACAACTGAATAATAGATGTAAACTCTCAAAGGAAAATGACCCCCCAAAAAGAAATTGCTTTTACTCATTCTGCCCAAACAATGGAGATTGCTTCAAAAG